ACACTGATATTTTCTAGTTATCATGAACAAAATTTGCTTTTATGCAAAGGCTCTCAAGGCCCATTTAAGCCTATATAAAGACTTGTAGTCATTTTGAAGAGGTGTTAGTGCATAAAATCATTCATGACCTCTTTACAATCCAGTAAACTTCTATTGATATTACAAATACCCACATTTATATAAATAGCATACAATAACACTACATAACACATGTAACAATATAAAATGAGACTGAATCAATATACATTTTGACACTGACAAAGGATCAATTAGAATTATGATGGTCTACATGAAGTCAATACTTAACCTCTATATTATAGGCTTACATAAGCTTACAGTTCAAAAGGTCATCAGATCTGGTTCTTAGAGGAAATGGAAAGACTATTATGTGTATATTTATTACTTATCATAACTGTTTATTTTGTATACCACTTTTACATAATAAGAAAGTAATCAGGCCAATTATCTATTTAATTCATCATTATATAGTATGACTTTAAGTTTATTGTTTAAATTTGCTTAATGAAAACCCTCACAAAATGGATTTATTCATTTTTGAAAAGAAATGCCTAATAAGGCAATACTTACACATCCAGCCTCTATAGCTTAGTAAGATTCTCAATGCATATCTTCGTACATGATATAATACAATAAAGAATCCAAAACCAACTACAGTAGATGCAACAACAGATTTGATATCTTTCGGTAATCCTAAAATAAGATACGAGATGGTAAGAATCTGGAATTGAGTTCAAATATGCACTGGGCTATCAGAAGTTGTCAAAATTTTTATCAATAAAACTGTCAAAGCTTTGATTCTTAGGAAACTGTCCAAATTTGATTAAGCTCCTCAGAGAAAAAAAAAGGAAGAACTTCATTACCTTCAGGGATGTGTAAATGGACTTCTGTCCAATGAACAACATCTGTGATGGGTTTTGTCATTTCTGCATCTAGATGGCACATACCAGTTAGCAATACTACTGCCCCTCCCAAATTCCATACTTTTGTAGGCCACAATCCGTTTTGAATTAAATTTCTGAAATTACAACAAAAGCATATGCTATATTTGCAGCCTTGCCTTACTTATAGGGTTAGTAGAGCTAAGTCTTATTTTAAGACTTAGAAACCAGTTCTAGCCTTAACCAAGCTATAGCTGGATGAAATCTCTAACTTCTAAAGCTAAGGACAAAAAACTTTTTAACAAAAATTATGAAATTAAAAAAAAAATGTTCATTTTCCTGAACAATCAATATCACAAAGCCAAGGACTGTGTACTGCAGTCAAGCATGCTAATCAGTTTTGACTATTCCAAGAATGATTAGATGGAGCAATTCCTACTAGGTTCACAACACTACTCTTTATCTTTACCTTGTCCTATAAAATCTTCTCACTAAAGATCTGCGCCATTGTCTAAAAGCCAAGTAAAATTCACTTTTGTTGTCCTTTCCTTCTTCGATATCGTGTACTCTAGGTTCAGTTACTGCAGCCCTCGCTTCTGCCATTTCAGAAGCCTACTTATGGCAAAGTTATTCAAAGTTTCACTTATCAATTAACCCCAATTTACTTTCTTCTCCGTTTTACATAAAAACTGACAATAGGTCAAAAGCCTTGATTGTCATCATATTAATGAATTTTAATGCTGTCTGCTAGTAAAAATACTCTCGATGATAAAATGGATTTGTAAAATACTCTCTACTACAAATGATATTTTGTTTCAGAACGATTTTTTTCTTAATCCTTCTCTAATCGTCTGAGACCTACGTAAGTAAATATACACAAATTTAGTGATTTCCGTCAATTTATATTTTTGTTCATTTGTAAAGAAAACATGAAAAAGGTTACTTATTTGGTCACGTGACTAAGTATCTGCCCGGAAAATGAGTGGTGGTTGGCTAAAAGCGGTGCAAAAAAGTTGGAATATATCGTGTAAATATGGAATTTTCTTGTTAGATGTAAACAGAGTAGTGCATCAATATCTGTGGCTTAAAATATGCAGCATGGCACACGCTATTTACGAGTCAAACTTCTGCTTTAAATCATTTTGTCTGTGTTAAGCGAATTATCCGCCATCTTGAATCTTACAACTTAAGCATTTTTGACCCTATGACGTCATGAATATGGGGTTATCAACATTTGGTTTTTTGACTGAGCTTAAAAGTAAAAATAGTGTCTCCTATTATAAATTGTCCATTTATAAACACATATTGTAGGCTACTAGTATGTGTAATTACCGGTACCACAATTGCCAATATGATGAATGCCAGACCAAAATGACAAATGGTCTAATAGTAAATAAGTAATACTTCAATTAGTTTTAATGTAGGCAGCTATAGCCTATGAATTTGGTTATCTCTTTATTTTATGGAATTAGCATAGATCAAAGTAGTTAAGAGCAAAAAGTGTAATTGGAGACAGAGCAGGGTAGAGCATTGATAGTAGCACCAGCCTCCTGGAACTCAGTGATAGATATAGGGCAGGATTTATGGGGGGACAACTGTTGGCTTCAGAAGATTCAAAATGGGAAGGCGCAGTGAAAGTGTCATGGACAAAAGCCTTGACTGGGTAGTCTAAGGGGGTTCTCCCACAGAAGATGTTTTCAAAAATAGCATTTATTCTGTGCATTCTGATGCATTCTTTTGGCAAAAACATATGAAAATATATTAAATGAAATACCATAGGCGCTGCCACTGCCTGCAAGATACAACGCATTCTTTGAGAACTTTTACTAAAAGTGGAATATTACTGGCCCATAATCCTTTCTTGTTAATATTTGCATATTGATGATATTCATATCAGTAGGCCTACATATTAAACTATTGAAAGGAAATATAGTTTAAACCCAGACCCATATTTTTGTTATTAGGAAACATGAAAATTTGAAAGTTAAAACGCACATTGAATTTTTTGTTATTTTGGATTTATATTTAGGTCACAGGTGAAAAACTGATATCTGAATGTTAAACTAATGTTATCGTTTATAGATTCTTGAAGTCAGGTAAATATTTTTTTAATACGGCTTGAAATTACTTGATTTCTGTTTATCAAAACTGATAAAATACCAATTGAAGGTCCATAGGCTTGACCTTCACTCATTCTGCAGAAAATTATTAGCATTTATGCTTGTAATTTTGATGTAATTTTGGTCAATAAAATAAATTTAGACATATTTTGTCCGTGGGTCATAGCCAGTGAGAATTAAGCCCCAGCAAAACCTTCTTCAGTTCAGATTCATTTAAAGTGTCTTTGTACAAAATCAAAAAGATATAGATTTTGATACGTTTTTGACACCTCAGAATTGTTTCTTTGGGACTTTAATTCTCCAAATTTTCTGAGTGCAAAATCCAGCACCAAGTCATTCCTGGCGACGGGACCAATTAAAGGCCAATAATTTACTCTATGATGAAAAATCAAGCTTACCATAAATCTTGACCTGAAATGACAATTTAATGCCCAACAGTAAAATATTTTAGAATATTACATATTTTATAATGTGAATATTACATCATTTAAATGGAATGTTTTACTTAATCAATAATTTTAATTATTGCTGTTTTTTAGATAAACAGTCAATATGCCGAAGAGTAGAAGATCATCCATGCAGCAAGCTATGCTGAATATGAATAAACATATTTATAGTAATGAAGTCAGGTTACTGATGGAATGTACAGAAGAAGAATTGTTACCTAGTCAGAAATCAAGTTATAAAAGTGCTTTAGATGAGTACAATCGTGTTAATAAGTATATAGCAGATGTTCAGACTGGTAAAATACAGATGTCAAATGTTCCAAATTCTACAATCTCATTAGTGACTGGTAAGTGACAAAATGTCTACAGAAAACTTTTTTGATTTACTTGGTAGAATCATTTTTCAAAATTATATCTTGGATTTGTTAATGAAAATCGTAACAATATTTTTCTATGCACAAATACTGTTCAAAACTTTGTGCAACATAACAACATGTTTCTTCCTCAACACATGTCTATATATTATTGATTTGGATGAAAAAATAATGAATATTTAGTTTTGAAAAAATATGTGAATATTTATTTTCTTGCATTTTAGACCCTAATGCAGTTGTCAGACCTAAACCAGTTCAAAAACCAAACCAAAACAATGATCCTGATGTAATTGTTATTGGTGAATCTCCTGCACAACAGACCAAAGTAGGACCAGCAATACCAGCCTTACCTAATGTTAACAATCTTACTTTACCAGTTCTACCTGACAATATCTCTGGTCAACAAATAATAACTTTCCCTCAACAAGTCTATAATCAGTTAGTTAATGGTCAACAGTCTAACGTAGTTAAAGTTGGTAATCAAATATTCATTCGACCAATCATGCCTGTTGCTGTAAGTCTATTCCATTTTGTGTTAAAATTTGAGTACTTTCACGGTCCTGTGCTTCTGAATAGAATTAGATATTTAGCTCCCCATGAAATCCCTTAAACATTTTCCAACTTTAACATCAATACTTTTTTTTAGATTAAAACCTTGCATTTACAATGATGCTTACAAATTCAAACAATTGGGCCCTCTATTTTCTTAATTGATAAGTAAATATTTTAAATGAATTCACATGACTTGATAGCATTACATGATTTGTCAAAGAATGAGTTGTTTCCGTATTCAACCAATTCCACATAGTTTAATGGAATTAATTAATGTTTCAGCCTCAACAGAATGGTGCCCAAGGTGTTTCATATTCTGGTAAGAGTTGTTAATTAATCTTCTAAATTAAATCTGAGATAATAAAATTTTATAATTAAGACTATAATTACTTGAATATAACTTTATTTTAAGAAATATAAATTTTTTTTTTTTTGGTAAGGTTTCATTGAAGTCTTTTAAACAACATATTGATTGTAAATGAAATTTTGTGATATCAATTGTAGTTAATCAGTCTATGATACGTCCTACATCTCTATTGAAACGTCAAGTTGATCTAGATGCTGATAGGAAGAGATTATTAGCTAGTAAAAATGAAATGGATAGCAGTGGTAAGACATTGTTTTTATATTTTCAATGTTTAAATCTTGCTTCTATGCTGTGAAATTGTCCACGTTACAAGTGCAAATAGAAGTCCAGATTTAATTTTCAATCAGTAACTTTGAGCTGAAGTGATGGATGGCCATGTACAGGCCTATATTACAAATATGAAATCAAACTGAAAAGAATTACTCTGTGAATGAACAGCTCTTTGGTTAAAAAAAGCTGTTAGCCAAAAGTATTGTTTTAGTGACATTTGCATTAAGTTATAGCAGACGTTCTATTTAGTTGGTAATATTTCAGGTAATTGGGTGCCTTTGGATGAGTTTTATTACGGTAAAAAGGAAGGTGATCCAACCTATGTAGAAGATAAAGGAGAATACAGATTTAAGGTATGGAATTTAAATATTTGTGCTCTTAAATCACTTTTTATTGATTGCAATCTTAAAAATATAATAACTGTGTGTTGATGATGGACAGTCTGTAGACGCTACTGGCCTCAGAAATGTCTTGGATTCCTGTTCTCCTCAACAGATGAATTTGAAACCCAATTTATTTCATTCATCACACTAATGTAATACACTGGGCTCATAGCCGTAGTTTATACACTGTCTTTATGTTGGAGTATTAACATGTTATCCTATCATTTTTTCAGTGTTGGTATTGTTCTAAAATGTTATATAATAATGTCAAGATTATGATGCACATGCAAGGTCATATAGACAGTGAAAAACAACATAATTTAGATCTGAGTGATTTAACACAGTGTAAACATTGTTATAAACAATTTGATACACCATTTGAGATGCAGACACATATAGAAAAGGTAAGTTGTACAGAATATGATTACTAGACTAGTTTCTTTTTTCTCATCTCTGTAATCTAACATCTTACCCTAATCCCGTTCTTATGACATTATTTTTGTTTTTAACTAATCAAGCGTGCATTGAAGGACCTATTTCTTGATAACAAGAATGAATTGCAAGATAGCAAGACTGGCAGAAGGGCATTTGCTATCCTAGAATTTTAACGTTTCAATGTAGAACTAAGCAAACTAAATGAACAGGAATGAGAAGTCAATAGCGAATATATTACAGATTGTCTTGGATAATATTTTTTCAGGTACATATGTATAACAGTAATGTACTGATGTGTCGAATTTGTGAGAAAGATTGTGACAGTAGATTCACCTTGACCTCACACATGAGAACCAATCATAATGCTTGTGAGATGCCATATATTTGCCATCTTTGTGGATTCCGTTCTTCTATGTATAGTGATGTGGTAGACCACTTTAAAAAGGTATGTAATCACTACTGTCTTGTGGAAACTTTTCACCAACTATACTTGGAATACTAAATGAAGTATCAAATTTTAGAATATTTGATAGTGTATTTTTGTGCATTGTGCACAGATTTTTCCCCAAAAAACAGCTTGCCAAACTTGTGTTATATAATAGGCAGTGACAAAAATTTGGGGAAATTTTCAACAAAGGACAATCTGCCATTTTGTAATTTTTTCCTTATATCTTAATATAAAAACCTTATGATTTTTTTTTCTTGAGCCTTGTGTTTTTACTGTGTACAACTAGGATCTGTCTGCAGTTTGAAATTGAAAGGACTATCAATATTCATAATTTTGAATTATATTCCATTTGTTTATTTCAGAAACATGATAGTTCAGCCAATTTGTTATGTTTATATTGTTTAAAAGCATTTAATATCAAGTTTATATCAACTGGTTGGGGACAAACACAGAATTATTATCATCATTTACTGAAACATCAGGCTAAAAATAAAGTGAAAAAATGCCAAGTGTGTAAATTAACATTCTTTAACCCAGCTGAATTAAAATCACATCGGCAGAAAGATCATTTAGCTAATGTTAAAGGTGTCATAGGTAAGACATGTTTTAATGAGTCTTAATGAATTTGGACTAATTTTATAAATTATACGTGCCTTGGGCTTTGTTAAGCTTTAATATCTTGATTGTGAATAAGCCAATTGACGCATTAAAGTATACATCATTGATATTGTTGGAGTTTGCACTTCAATAAATGGGTTATAGAAATATGTATGATGCTCTTCTCTTATGATTGATTTTTCTTTTTTGAAGTTATCATCAGTACGTAATCTCATTATGTGTTGTGGGTTTGCATCTCTTTCAAAAAGTGATTATATACAGTGTAGTAACTACACTCTACATTTTTTCTGCACACGTGGACGGTGTTCTAAACATAGTTCCAATTTGTTTTATTGAAAGTCCAAACATGATTACCAAACAAACAGAACTCAACAATCAGGCAACCTCATTAACACAATATATATTATGACTGTATTGTTATTCTAGGTATGAATAGTAAATACACCACGCCTGACCAAGTTATGATTAAAGTACCAGAACAAGGTTTACAACCTAAACCTATTAAATCATTAAATGCACCAACAGTATCTAAAGTTCGAGATAATCATTTATTATTACCTAGAGTTGTTAATGATGTTGATTGTTTAGAGTGTAAAACTAGTATGTCCTCTGTCGAACATTTTAAGTAAGTTTAACAATTTCTGTTATGAAAACAACTTAGAATCATCTTATTTATATTAAGATTTCAGCAACCTGTTTCACTGTTTAGAATTTAGATTAGGCATCCAGCTCTTTTACAATTCAATAAAATAGTTCCTGATGTTAATAACATCAGTCAGAGGAATTTTGATAACTCATTTCCATCATCTAATCTTGAAATCTCTTGTTAGATCAATCTACAAACTTTTTAAAATGTAAGGCAACTTAGATTAGTCAACAGAATACTAAAGTAATTATTTGTCTTTTTTGTAGAAAATATATTCAGTGTTCAATGTGTAGATTTGCTACAAGTTGTAGTTTTGCTTATGCTAATCATATGATGGGATTTCACTCGGGTAAAATGACTACTTTAAGTTTAAATATACCTCAAGAAAAACCAATGGAACATGTAATGTATTGTATGTGTGGTTATGCCAGTCTTTATGGTAATAAAATAGGTGAGTAGCCAGTAGTCATTTGGTCCTGCTAAAAATGCATGTCATATTAAGTGTACAATTTTATCCGTTGAATCTTCATATGAGTGTATGAAGTGAATTTTTTTTAATCGTTAACCATATCAGCCTTTCCTCAGTTTTGTTGAAAGATGGTAAAGAGCCAAATAAAGGAATCTCATGTTAACATGTTTTACAAATTAGTTACATGTTTATAAGAATTTGGTTGTAGTCAGGGACCTCTTTCTTGAAAATCTAACTATGATAAAATGAAGAATTTAAGAAAAGAAGTAATCTGATTTGATTTGAGTTTAGTGATTGACCTATCAAATGACAGAGAAAGTAAGTTCATTGTTAAGAATAAGGTCTAAGAATTCTGAAGGTTGAGAATAAGGCTATAGATTGAATATCAACCAGCTGTAATTTAACTGTAATAAGTCAATGATTAGAATATATGTAATTTGTTATTCTAGCTAATCATATGGTGTATTGTACCAAAAGAACATGTTACAAAGATAAACCTGATGTACAGATACAAGAATATGACAATAAAGGTATGTACATGGTTTGATTTTTGTACACAGAATTAACTGTTAAACTGGGCATGTTTTCTAAGCACCAGGGGCTGTTGATTCGCCTGAAATATCCACACATGACAGACTCAAATGCTTGAGAACCTGTCGATCATGAAGTTTTGGTTCAAATGGCTTGTATTATTTATATGCCACTGTGGTTGACAAATGATATTGTTCCCAATAAAGAGCAACAGTTATAAGTAAAAGTTGTTTGCTTACTTCATTTAGAAATGCAAGATCCAAGAAAGAAACCTGGAGCCTCGTTATTAGACGTTTTAGGTTTGGTGAAGAAGCCATCATCTGGTACGTACCAAGCTCTATTTCTTTTTCTTTCCAATAGTCTTGTTTTGTAATTTTACCAATGGATCGACCCAGGATTTTCCTGGAGCTGTTTGAAAATAGCAAACATGGAAAGGGAGATAAGTACCAGCACCATCACATAGTTATAATCGAGCTACGATATTTATGCATATCCTGGAACAATTCAAACAATTAACATAAACACCTTATTTGTTTTGGGTAGAATAAATAGTAATTGAATAGGCCTACAGCCAGGGTCATATTGTTTTCAATACAAGTACTACTTGTTCTACCTTAAGTACACACCCTCACACTGTCAAATTATCAGACTGCATCTTATACCTTGACTGCAATAGCGACCTTTCTTGTATGACTAAAGTTTGTAAATGCAGTGATTTGTTGGTTTGTACATTGATAGTGAATACAGCCAATCAGAGTCCCAACGGAAAGTCTGTAAACAATAAGCCATAATGCCTATGGTTCTATTGAGAGATCTGATTGGCTTTTTTGGCTTGTGTACAATCCAATCAACTTGCTGCTTTCTGTAATACAAGAAAGGTGACTATTGCCCTCAAGGTATAAGATGCAGTACATGATAGATTGACATTGTCAATTGCCAAAAGTAATAAGTACTGTTTTTGTTTGTGGTTTGAATCGTTCCCTAATCTATGCTTGACTCTTAACTGAAGTAAAAATGACTGTCTATATGAGAATAATGGAGGTATTTTATTTAAATATAAGGTGAAGGAGATGATATTAATGAAACTAATGAAGATATTGCGGGTAATGATGGTATGAATTAATTAATCAATCTTTAGATTGTTCTTATTTCATTAATTTACTCTCTGCTTGTTGTAATTAGTCGTGAATGTTTCTAAATGGAATCTTTAGCCTGTACTTTAAGGTTCTAGTAGATAGTTCTTGATCCATGAGGGATGTAAAATGATGATTGGCTCTTGACAAAACGTCACGATTTCCATCTGAGATTTAGCAATCATCAAATTAGATTTACTGAAACAAAATTATGCAATTGAATGTGCGCAGATGCTGGTATTTTTACTGCCATTCATGTTCCAAAATTTGATATTATGTCAGAGATGGAAAAATTGCACTAGTGTATCAAGGGCTATTTGTCGACATTGTACTATTTTGATAGTTCATATTTTAACTTCTTACTACATCTTAATGGTAAAAATTATAAAGATATGATGCATGGTGATATTTGCTCATTTCCTCTAATTTATAGCTTTATAAGGTGGAAGATATCAACAAGCTAACAATAGCACTTCTCAGAGCAACTTTGACATTGGATGCACACATTGTTACCTGATAAGATATCATCTTATGAACACATGAATATCATATCCCTTCAACTGATATTGTTCATTCTGTATATTTATCTTTGCATGAACCATGTCCATTGATTTGGACCCTAATACTGACATTTGCCTCTGCTTTTAACAAAATAAAGCTGGTAAAATTAAAAATAATTGAATGTAGCTTATATGGTTTCTTAGCTTTTCTTTAAAACTAATTATTCTTAAATATTTTAATGATAGAAAAAAGCATGATTAAAATTCTTCTTTTTCCTATTTCTCTCCATTATATAAATACTGATATCTCTTAAATGTATTAGATTAAACAGTTGGATGTAAATATTAATTCTTGGGACAAGCCTTTTTCTGCATGATCAGATAGCTAGTTTTTGCTAGTCTATATTAAAGGGATTTAAAAGAATTGTTCATGCTTTTACAGTGTCAAGGAATCTTATGACCTAATTGTGATGTCACTACCAATAAGGCCATGTATGCCTGACATCAGGCAGGAAATATTAATAGGCTCAATGAGAATCGAAAAAACACATGTAAAGGCTTGAAAACTTCTCTTAAGGCATTTATCATAAGCTTAGGTTTTGAAATACAATTAACATGTAACTGAAATGCAAGAATTAGACTGAGCATTGCCTAATATTTCTAGTTCTCTCCAGTCTATATAAATTGCTGTTGACAAAAAAGTACATGAATGAAAACATATTACTACCGATACTTATATTGAAATCTTGCCTTAGTATAGAGAAAACTATGTATTCATTCTCTAGTAATTTTTTTTGTGCTGTAAAATCCTCAAAAACAAGATTGCTACCATAGATTTTGATTTATTTACGACACTTTGTGAATTGTTCAATTTGTATTTAGATCCATTTAGTTATAGTGTATAGAAAGATAAATATTATATACGTATTATGAATAGTCAAAATGGAAGAAAAGAAGAGAAATATAGAACTGTAGAATGTTGTGAGAATAAGATTATGTAAAATGATTTAAAATGGTTTCTATTTTAGACAAGCCTAAAGAATACAGTTCCAGTAATGATAGTCCAGAAGCGAAATCTTCAACTACAGTATGGGTTTATGCTTTCTAGCTCTATATCTATATATTTATTATATATTTTCATTTCTAGCTTAATATCTTTATATGTTGTGTTTCTCATTCTGTTACTGAACAACGAGAAAATTTTGAAATTGACAGTTAAATCAAATAAGCCTTTGATCTTTATATTTTGGCTCTTTCACCATTTCTTGTGGTAAATCAATATTTTTTTAATCTTCTGCTTTCGTGTGTGTTTTATGTAGACTTGTATGTTTAACCTTTGAAACGATTGAATTAGTTTTTCTGGCTCCATATTATGTGTATTTACAAAAAAATAATGCAATTTCAAATTACTGTTCAAGGGGAAAGGTATTTGTGATAATGACGTCATAATGTGGAGCATAATCCACAGACATCAGAATGGTGCAGATATAAGCTGTAAGAATCACTGATTGATTTCTTACACTAGAAAACCTTTTTCAATCCTTTTAATCTTTAATCTATGTCTCGGTTTTCAATCCTTAAGTGTTTTATTCCTCTGTATTTTTTTAACACTGGTAATAGTAGTTATTTATGGTTGTATTATTGTACTATTGATGTATGTATTTCTATGTGTCTTTAAGCTCTTATGTATCATAAATAAATCACTGTTATTGTTACACTTAAGTTACTATCATTGATCTGATGATGTATTTAATCAAATCTCATTATTTATGCTTCATGTGCAAATAAGAATACTCAAAACTTGATTATGAATTTTGTAGTAGATCAGATACTAAATGCTATATATAGAATTGTTAATGATTACCAATGAAATTGTGTTTATTATATTTGTTCATGTTTCTATTTTGTTGCAACCCTGTTAGGAATGAGTGAATTAATACTATGTTATATTTTACAGGATGCTAGTGAAGTAAGAGAAAAGTCAGAAAAGGATAAAAGTGATGTGATTGAAATTACTGACGAACAATCAGCCAATATTGAAACTGATAAAAATAATGCTAAATCTATTGAAGAGAAAATGGACAGTGATAAAGATGATGGGGGTGGGGAAGATGTGATTAGTGAAAATAGTGTTTCTGACTCCACTGACAATGTTAAAAATCCCACTGAAGACATCACTGAGTCCATTGATGACATCTCTCAGGGCAATGATGTCATCCGTCAGGACTCTCCCAAAGACAATGCATCAGGAATTAAGGAAAGTGAATCTAAATTAGATGATGAACAATTTGGCAATTCTAATGACATAACAGAGATTAATTCTGAAGAGAAAAAATCAGCAGACGACCAATCTTGTGCTGTGGATTCTGAAGAACCAATGGACACTCCAGTGGATCATACAGCTACAGAAAATAAGGATGCACTAGTAATTGATAGTAAAACTCTTGACCTACCAGAAGCCACCTCTGACGAAGCTGAAAATGATTCAGAAACTATGGATCACAAGGCAGCAACTTTATCTACACCAAGCTTAGATAACAAGGAATCAACATCTGAAGAACAGGACATACAAGATGCAGTTACTGCAATGGAGACTGAAGATACACCTTCATACAATGTAGATACAACAACATCTAACACTGACAAAGAAACAGAACCTTCAAGCAGTGCAGAAGAGGCGTTTACAGAAGAGGCATTGGATAGCCAGGAAGACAAAGAAACAGAACCTTCAAGCAGTGCAGAAGAGGCGTTTACAGAAGAGGCATTGGATAGCCAGGAAGACAAAGAAACGGAACCTTCAAGCATTGCAGAAGAGAAGTCTACAGAAGAGGCATTGGATAGCCAGGAAGACAAAGAAACTGAACCTTCAAGCATTGCAGAAGAGGCATTTACTGAAGAGGCATTGGATAGCCAGGAAGACAAAGAAACAGAACCTTCAAGCATTGCAGAAGAGAAGTCTACAGAAGAGGCATTGGATAGCCAGGAAGACAAAGAAACTGAACCTTCAAGCATTGCAGAAGAGGCGTTTACTGAAGAGGCATTGGATAGCCAGGAACACAAAGAAACAGAACCTTCAAGCATTGCAGAAGAGAAGTCTACAGAAGAGGCATTGGATAGCCAGGAAGACAAAGAAACAGAATCTTCAAGCATTGCAGAAGAGAAGTCTACAGATAAGGTAATGGAAATCCAGGAAGACAAAGTTTGCCAATCTGAAGAACCATTAAATGAAGCATCAGCACATTCCATGGGAACAACAGCAGACAAGGAAGAAAATATAACACAAACCACAGACCAAACTATTTCCATGACATCCAGTGATGATGATCCCACGGGTCAACAGAGTACTGAAGAGTCATCAAAACCTGCTGTTGCTGATACAAAAGATAAACCATCAATCAATGAAGCTTCCTTAGAAACAAACCCAGAGGAAGCACTCCAAATTGGGAAAACTCCCATAAAATTCATGGATGGAAACAAAATCACGGGAGAGACTCCTACTGATGAAAATAATGAAAAGGACATCACCCATATTGAATCAGCAATTAGAACCTCTGGAGAACAATCTTCAGATGAAACATGTCCAGGTACAGTAAGTGACCATCAGACTGATAAAGACCCTACAAAAAGACAACAACAATCAGAATCAACATCTCAACAGCCCAATTATCCACCTCAACAACAAAACCAAAAAGATACTTCTGCTGAAAGCTCTAGTAAACCAGAAGACACAAATGAAAGGAGTGATGATAGTCATAGACGGTATTCTGATGACCGCAGCAGAGCCTATGATCGTGAAAGGTCAAATCGTGAACATAGAGATAGAGAAAGGGATAGGTCATACCAAAATAGAAATGATTATCGTGATAGGTCCAGAGATAATCACTATGATAGAGACCGGAAATATGATCGTGATTATGATAGACATGGTAGAGATCGGTAAGTATCAAACTATTTTTAGATCCTTATAAGGCAGTACTCTTAAATATCTGCTTTACCAGCCCGAGATGAATATCATCTCTTTCTGTCAGGTTCACTTTGATTTTATCCAATTAAAATCATTAAGTAGTCAGGGTGGAAGGAAAGTCTGAAATGAAAAACCAAATTTGAACACGAAGGAACTTCTGATTTCAATTCGGGCAAAATATATGAAATTTCTACTCTTACGAATTTCTTGTCTTCTTTCAGAAATCGTGATTATGGATATGGTAACCATTCAAGAGATTATAGAAGAGATGGATATCGTGATCGTGATAGAGATAGAGATCGTGATTATGATAATAGAAATTATAATCGTAAAGGTGGAAATCACAGAGATAGAAGTGGCTATTATTGATTAACTTGTACTTTTCTAGTTCATTTACATTTTGTGTTTGTTGTTTTACATTTTAAAGCAGCGTAAGATTTATGGTACAAAGAGGTGTACAATATGAAAACAAGTGGTAATTAGCTGTCTTGCTGGTAATCTGTGTTTATGTCCAAAGACATAAGCTTTTGTGAGGATATTTAGCAGAGTTCTTGTTTTGTGGCTCAACTGTTTGTGTCTGGAATGAGGCAAGGTTAAGAATGAACTTTTTATTCAGTGTACTTTGTTATGTTTGTCTTAAATTGGATAAAACATGATTATGGATTAGGGCCAAACATTATGATTATGGATTAAGGCCAAACGTTTTCATTATGAATTAGGGCCCTTATTTATATACCTGTGTTTTGCTAGAGGAAAAAATCATTATTTGGGTTGACCTGAACATCATTATCCATTTTATAGATTGTAACAGGATTGAGATAGAGGTAATGCTTGGCATGGTTTGCTAAGACAAACACAACACAACAATAGTTATGTTACTGGCTATTAGAGCTCATAATCTATTATCACTTTTCAGAATTAAAATCTGATATCTAGTCTATATTTCAACTAAACTTTGAGAAGTTTCAGGCAGTTACTTATTTTCTCTCAGGCCAATAATACCCATATATGACCTCATTGGACAAATCAGCCAATAAGAAAGGTAATAATGGGCTGGAAGAGACAACATTCTAAACTGTTTTTGCTGAAGGGTAGGGGAATCATATGTCTGATTTTAATTTTGAAGAGTGATACAGATAGTAAACTTTTTGAGCTGTATCAGCTATAAAAGCAACAATGATAACAGAAATAAGGCTTTAAAATGGAATGTAATAATTGTGTAAACTGAACATTATAAAGTCAGTATAAATAGATGTTTTATATTATATATATATATATCAATGTTTTATATTGTTTTTTCATTCTAAGAATGCATTTATAATACAATATTTTTTGCTAGCATGCACTGAACATTTCTTAATGTAAAATTTAAATACAGAATTTTCAATCAGTCTTACAAACTAAGCAGAAAGCTTTGAATACATTTTTGTTTATGATCTTTGGCAATTCAACGCATTACACACATCTGTACTTGTGTACATCCATCTACTTTTATTCTAAAGGGATGGGACTCAGTTCGACTTACAACGAAAAGAATCTGAGACCATCTGAAAGCATTTGGAACAATCTCATTGCTTGTTTTTGGTCATAAACGTCCAATTAATGCCCACATCGCTTATGGTTTTTTTTTTAACTATAGTGGTTCTATACTGTGGCCGATCTGACTGATACTGTGAATAATCAACAGAACTGAACCCCATATTAATAAAACCTGGTTGTTCAGTGATACATGTTGAGTTATCCATACTGTTGGATAATATTCTATATTTTATATGATTTGATCAAATCACTGCATGTTTCTTTTACAAGTCATTGAATTCGTTACATGGATGCCAACTGTAATCGGTTGTATGTAATAAGTGATCATTGGTATACATGTGGGCAACTTCAATATGTTTCATCAATGATTAAAAACCTGAATTGTCACCGTTTCTGTCTTTTGTTTTCCAACCCCCAAATCAATTTAGTTGACGTAATAGTATATTGCTGTTATATTTCTTGTAATCTTCTGCAAGGCTTCCCTTGACCCTTTCGGCCAAAGGAACAAACATAGATCGTCCTAGCCGGAACGATTACTAAATGGTACAAATTATTTCATGATCATGGTAAATATCGAACGTTCCTCTTATGAGAATGTGCCTTGTCTGTTAGATTTTTGGATAGAACTCGGGATCGGCTAGCCTTGCGTCAAATGAACATTATATAATCTGGCTATCTTTGACGTCAACAAGAATGCTGTACTCCTAATTGGCCTCAGATTTTAAAAACTCTCCAAAAAGAACTTCGGGATCTGTAGCTAGATAGAATATTCTTGAGGTGAATTTGTTCGCTTACTAGTCCCATTGCATATTCCTTAAGCAACGTTACATGATGAAATAATCATGATGATCATATAACTATCATGTAACGTTGATCACACATGATCTCATTGCAGAAAAGGATCTCTTTAATTGATGGCTGAAAATACCCGCATAATCTGGCCCTTTAACACGTCAGCGGGAATAGGGCAGTTCCGTCAAATGAACTTGGTTTTGCGGAGTGTATGATCATGTAGAGAATGAAAGGGTATGTTATGAGACCTCGGGCTATTACGATCTGCGTCTTATACCTTGATTTCAGTAGACATCATGGATCACAGAAGTTTGTCTGTTGTTATATTGGATACACGCTAGCTAATACAGCCAATCAGGATCTGATTGGATGTATTCTCTACCGTATAATCCAATGGCTAATGCAATCAAGGTTTTAGGCACAGTTCGTAATGACTTGACAGTATGGAAATGACAAGAACCTGGCTATTGTGAAGTTGATATTTCAGTTCACATAAAAATAACATCGACATTCGGTTTACCAAAGGGTGAGAACAGCGAAAAAGTCTCACCCACCTTTGGTGTAGGTAGGTAGGTAGGTAGAAGACAAGTTAACGTTCGCTTCCAGCGGATGCTGATATCGCAAACTAGGTAATTGTTGGTAGTCGTAGTAGTTGGTAGTGAACACCTTTGGTGTACTGTCTAGGTCTATTTATACCTAGCTCTCGGTTAGGTCAACTTTGGGCGTGTCTGTCTGGCATTGACAATTCTGCATTTCCATAGATATGTCGCAGAAAATAAACTAAAAGTGGTATCAATAATGTTTGATGTAGTTAAAAATTTATGCCGATGATACAGACAGTGTGTCTCGCATGATGTTTTTCTTTTTTTGCCCAGTGTGATGTATAATGAGTTATAACCCGGCCTTAAATAGTTTTTTGCCTATTATGTTTACAACAGGCTGTTCTGCTAATGCAAAAAGATTAGAATTGGATATTAACTTCCATTTCATTTCATATACCGATCTTTCAAGAAAATGTAGATTACATAAATAGCTAACATTATGTAAAATTACCAGTCATGCTCTCAATACGTGCCATGTAAATTTAGGTCACTGAACTCCAGATTTCAAAAGTTTTAAATCTGTAGACCGAAACGACATAGGCTATTATTCAGTTTCAAAATACATCTATAGGTCAAAGTGCAATTATATTATAGGAGTTACGTATGTTTTTCAGAACACCCGTTTTAATTTTTCGGCTTCGCAATCCAGTATAGGCATAAATTGATATATAGGCCAATTTAAAAATTATACACAAGACAAGTTCTGAGAAATTTAGAGACGCAAATATTTCTTTAAGTACGATTTTGCAAATATTCACATGAAAAAATTATAGTTTTTGTACACTTATAATATATATACATTACTTTGGGTACAGCCGGGAGCCTCAATTGGATATAGCGTATCTTTGTTAGTTATATTGTTCCAGAGGTTTGCAATTGCCGGTAATCCGGAGAGAAAAATTTAATCCTGCATGCTAATAAAATTCAAAAACCTTTAAAAATAAAAAAATCCATAATTCTTCAAATACGCACATCAAGTGTAATTTGGTGACAGGCCAGAACCCTTGCTCATTACTTGATGATATTTCGTAAAAAATAAACATGTTTGATATTGTTGGTACAAATGTTATTTATAAAAGAAGGTATATTCCTACCCACTTTCCGCAATTATTTTCTGCCAACTTTACACATTGAGTATCTGAGACAGATGGTGCTTTAACAGCATACCAGGTAACATACTGTAAGAATGATCTAATAAATCAGCGGTTTAAGATTCTCAGCATCTTCACAATGTCAAGCTAATAATATTAGGCGTAGTTCGTAATAGCTTGACAATGTGAAGATGGAGCCTTTAGAGACACTAACTTGCAAAAAAGGGGGTGGGGCGAGTAGGGTCTTAAGAATTCCCAAAGGAAACGGCGCGTTAGGTTCAGGCCCCGTCTCCGAAGTTTCAAAACTTCTATTTGATTTTTTGACATGTTTATTAAGAATCAAAAAGTTTAGTATGCTCCAGCTTAATTTCAGCATTTAAGATAATCTCATGGATACTGTCAGATCTATGATGTGGAAAAATTAAATCATATGGCCCAGTTTTAAAAAAAACACATTCCTTCTATCCCAGTACGTCGGACTAACCATGCTCTATAAAACCTAGTACAGTTAATTTATCAATAGAGTAATGTTGACAGCAGCTGTCAAGTTTATCAACTCTTACCACGTGTTGCCCTTATTAGCAAATGTTTACCATATTTGTAAACTAGATTTAAATAATATGGCTGATGAAACCGCCCTATTTATACACGAGCTGTTCACGTGAATGCCCATATTAGCGAAAAATTTCCATATTAGTAAGGTCAGTCAAGTTCATAGCTGATGAAATATCTCAGTGTTTACAATATCAAGTCCTATCACTGGCTAGCTATTAAATTTAGTAGTAGGATCTCCTAATATGGGAGACGGTCCAAATTACTATTAATTTGTGGTCGGAGAACTGTTTGAAAGACTTGAAATTATAGTTGCATGCTTTGAGCTTATTTTTTTTCAATAATATATTACCAAAATTAACATATTTGACAATTTGATCTTCAAAATAGGGGTTCTCAAAATACGTTAGGCTGCATTTTCAGGAAGAATATTTGCGTAGTCTTGCTTTGCATTAAACCTAAGCTTGTATATCTTTATTTTTTTTATAACTATGAAAAAGAAAGATTTTTGAATGTATGCATTTTCGATTTTTCAATTTTCATAAGCCCTGTAAAATGCTTGTGTAAGGAAAACATTATGACCTTGACCTAACTTGTTCATTCAGTGAGAAAATGGGCAGGACTTGTAGCCATTAACCAATAGATATTAACACTATATTCTCTACAGCCAATCAATACCAACTCTATTCAATAATAATATGATGAAAATACATAAATAGCCGAGAGACATTTTCATCTTTCTCACTCTCTTGTCAAATTTTCAGTGGAAAACACTTCAATACTCAGCAGACGAACATTTCTTTCTCAACAAGCAATGGAAGAAAAGAAAGTCATCAATTTTTCACCAGGACCAGCTAAGTTGCCTGAAGATGTAAGTTCAGATTTTTTCATCTAAATAACGCTGTGGTACGATTGTCCTTGATTTGTGGAACTAAAGTACCGGCTTTTTACAATTTACTTTTGTTTAGACGCTCATAGATTGTATCACTCTGTCTCTGTCTCTGAATAAAAATTTGATTGAGTCATTGCATGCGGAGTTAAAGAATATTTTCATTTGTCCATCGGTAAACTAAAAATGAATTGATGTTAAAAAGAAGTGATTTTCCTGTCTTTGATGTCCAATCAGCCTTTGCAAAATTTAAGTTGAAGCCAATTTCCCAGTGATTGCAAAGATTTGGCAGAAGCCTAGACCTAGGGATATTTGCCCCTCTGTCTCTCATATTTTATATTTGGGGAATTTTATGCATATAAGCATTAGGCCTTATTTTCTTAGAATAATTGTTGAAACATTAAAAAAGGATTGTATTCCGATCAGCCCATAATTTCTGTTGATTTAGCTGTAGGCCAGTCGTGTCTGACTGCAGTTTAAAATGTCTAAGGTTAACATTGATGAATTTTCTTAAATTAAGTAGTTTGAATTAGATCTATGCTCTAAACTTTTTGGTTAATAAAATACTGCTCTAAACATTGCATATGGTTATTTGTGTTTGAAAAAAGTCATGAAAACATAAAGTTTTTGAACCTAATTGTTGCAGCCTGCATCACTTTACAAAATGAAATCTACAGTTACGAGTACCGGTAATAAAAATATCTCAAATTAAGAATTTCTTTTCCTATTTCTAGAGAAAACTAACTTTCAAACTTGAATAATTCTGGACATACTTGAATTTGACGCTCAAATTTCAACCTATTATATTGTTGACCTATAGATTTTATAGGTCAAGAACCTAGAATAAGACAGTTGTTGACCTCTTTAACTTTTTTTTTCCATTTTCCATTAATAGTCCTGGTTTCTTATGTTATATATATTGCTCTATAACTCTGTAGACATTATTCTAAGTCAATTTATGTTTTTATAGGTTCTGGCCAGAGCTCAGAAAGAGTTTTTAAATTTTAATAATACAGGTGTCAGTGTCATGGGTAAGTATGAGAAGAAATTTGTTTAAAGGTTCTTGTTAAAACGAATGTGTATCATCAAAAAATATCTTTTGTAAACAATTAAAAAGAAATAATGATTAAACTTGCAGAGTTGTTAATTTTTGTGCCTATTGTATGCAATTTGAACAAAAAGCATAGGTAAATTAGTCATAGGGTAAATTGCTCAAAGTAGGCACGGAGTGACGTCAGAATGAAATTTTTGTCTAATTGGACCAATGTGACCAATTAACTAGGTTGAAATAAAATTGACCAAATAAATAACTGTTTCCATGTCACTGTGACCTTGATCAATAAGTGTGACAAATTACTGTGACCGATTTGCCTGTGACCAATTTTCCAGTGACCAATTTACAGTGACTATGTTACGGACTATGAAGCTCTGAATCAGTGTTATTTGATATATACATTCAATTCATAAATGATCATAAACCTTTTTTAACACACTGATATATGTGATATGATCTGTTCCATGTAAAAAATGAACACGATCTACCATCATGGTAATTTAGAACATTTTATTTGGCTTAGTTTTACATCATGTGACATTTTCAAAAGTATCACTAAAGTATCACCATGTTAGAGAAAATTCCATTGGGTTATGTAAATACATGATGCGTCAAAACTTTATTTAATGAACTGAACAGAACAGCATGAGGGGAAAATGTCATCATCAGTCATCATTAATGATATGATCATTAATAGATAACATGATGTTTATAATGATAACAAATATATTATCATGGTTATTTTGTGGACAATATCTTTCCTCATTTCTAATTTGAATTTTGCTTCACAATGGTAACCCAATGTAATAAAGTTCTCACCAGAAATTAGATTTAAATAAAACAAATAGTGCACAATGCATTTAATGAGATATATATAGATCATTTATGTATACATTTCAAAACTTTGTTATCTATTGAAGTTTGAGAAGTCCAAAAATCTTGATGTACTGTCCGAAATAATAACAATTCCTGTGTGATTTTATATTAATGTCTTTCTTCAAAATAAGACAGAAAAATTTATTAAGCTATTTTTTTTCAGAATTAAGCCACAGATCAGCAGATTTCAGTCAAATTATTGGTCATGCTGAAAGAGATTTGCGAGATTTATTGTAAGTTGAAAAATCTTACTGATATTTGATATTTGATACTAGAAACTGTTTTACCAGATCTTTGATAAGCCTTAGATTGATCCATGAAACGACTATAACTGTATGGGATGGGACAATATTCCGTGGCCCTGTGTGCATGTTAAAGATCCCTCGACAGTTGAAAATCGAAAAAGAGTAGGCTAAAGCTGCCGTCCTGGCAAAATTTCCCTCATTGCATGGCATGGCGTTGCCTGTCTTCATCAGCCCACATGGTGCAGAAAAGTAGGATTTAAAAGTCCATTCATTTCATTTATTTTTCATTAAATAGCATCCTAATATGATTTTATGATATACTTCTCTTCGTGGTGGCTTTTATTAATGTTTATATATTTGATATATATATATAAAAACATTAAGAGCCACCACTAGGAGAAGTATGATACCTTGTATTTCACTTGATGACTAATTGTTGAAATAAGTGAAATAGACTATAAAAACTAGTTATAGTATACCATAAAATAGTGTTATGTAATACACAAATTACGTTACAAAAATACCTTGGATGATCAAGTTATATAAAACTCTGGATTATAAAAGTTTTGATAGGTAGATATTATTGATTAATAACAATGTAATGTATATCATGTATAGGTCAGATATATCTATAATTGTAGGTAGACAATACTATATATAAATACTCATAACCTTTGGACTTGTTATTAACATATCTTGATATGTATATTGTATGACATGTCTGACTGATATTTTATGGCATATCTGACTGATAACTTTCAACAGATAACATAAGATGACAGTCTATCAAGTGGAGGATCAAGCTACTGGAGCATAGATCATTATGACAATTTTAATTGAGGTTAAGTGCAGTTAAAATAAATTATTTTCAGAATCCATTATTGGTTATCAAGACTCTTCAAAAAATACAAATGATTTTTGATTTTTAAAATCTTTTGTAATCTGTGCATTGATCTCTGGAAGGTCACCTTTATTAGAAAAGTAATAAATCTGAAAGAAATTTATCTATATCCCAGCAATCTAATTAAATAAGATTACAATTCCATTTCTTTTTTTTGTCTCTATTGTAATCCAACAAGGTTTCTACCACAGTCACTATTTCATGATATTTTTGTTAACCCATTAAAGCGTGTCATCTATCTGACAGGCTGTGATTGATTAAAATAACATCATTAGAACTGGGATGCAGTAGAAAACTTGTAAGATTACAGTAGAGAAAAAAAAAGAAATGTAAATATATTCTAATTAGATCGATGTCCAATTTAACTTGTCACTACTTGCATCTAACTTCAGATAAATTTCATTTAATTGGGATTTCTAATTTGTATTTATTGTATTTTGTTAGAGAAATACCAGATAATTATAAAGTGATATTTGTACAAGGTGGTGGAACCGGTCAATTCTCAGCTGTGCCATTAAATTTAATAGACTTAAAACCAGGTGCTAGTGCTGATTATATTGTTACTGGAAGTTGGTCAGCCAAATCTGCCAAAGAAGCTGAAAAATATGGCAAAATTAACAGAGTTCTTCCTAAAACAGAAAAATATTCAGGTAAGAAACTACATTCCCCATTCTCACTCTATGCTTTTCATAGAAAGCAGTTTATGAATAAAAAAAAATTTAACATGAAAAACTTATTCAGAGTGCACATACTTATGCTGTAGTTGGACTTGGAGACTAAAGGGGGATAATTTGATAACTTTAAAAGAAAGTATGATGGGTTATTTCCCTTGATGCATCTGTAGATATGGGAGATTATTTTAGTTTTAATAATCAATTTCGAGATTAAACACACAATGTTTGAAAGCATTTACATACTGCTTTGAAAAAACTAATAATTTTATTATCTATTTCAGTAATTCCGGACCAAAGTACTTGGAATTTAAGTCCAGAAGCCTCTTATGTTTATTACTGTGCTAATGAGACCATTCATGGTGAGTTATCTTACATCCATATTCAATAATTTTATTGAAAAAATTGCACAATAGTTTTAAAACTTATCATTGCAAAACTCAAAGAAATGACAAGTTTCTAGTTCTGGTTTAATATTCTATATCACTTTGCAATTAATGCATTGAGCACTATTTTATCTGCTGAGTAGTTGCTATTATTAAAATATTTATTGTTTTGCAGGAGTTGAATTTCAATTTATACCTGAAACCAATGGTGTACCTCTAGTCTGTGATATGTCTTCTAATATACTCTCAAAACGGGTTGATGTTTCTAAGGTTCGTTTTATTTCCAATATTGTCATTGGTATTTTATTACGAGTGTTCTTTGCATGCTACTGTTCACAACCTATAGACAGTGTGACGTTTTTGTCCTTTTGTTAAATGGAAATGCATTGTGACACTGACACATCAGAGCAAGATATGGTGGCTTTGTTTTATGTCTGTGGTGACTGCAAGTCTAGGATTAAATAACAATTTTGAATTTTCTATTGCAAAGATAAAAATCAGCTCTAAGTGTCCGTTATAAATCATAACCCTTATAAATTTCTTTAACATCTTGTAATTGTAGTTTGGTGTGATATTTGCTGGAGCCCAGAAGAATATAGGATGTGCTGGAGCTACATTAGTTATTATTAGAGAAGATTTAATTGGTTTTTCTGATCCTATCTGTCCTATTTTAATGGACTATAAAACACAAGTTGGAAATAACTCATTATATAACACACCTCCAACATATAGGTTAGTATTTGCTTTTCGCAAGAAGACTCGTTAAGGCAAGGAAGGATAGATATATTACTTGTTTAATAGTGCCGATACATGACTGTCAAATCTAACAAGTTTAACATTCCAGTTCTTTAACTATTATGTCATGTTTTGTTGTTAAATATATTATTTGTTTTTCTGATTCTAGTATCTACATCATGGGCTTAGTATTTCAATGGATAAAAGAACATGGTGGAGTTGCTCAAATGGAGAAGAATTCAAGACAAAAGTCAACAATATTATACGATATTATTGATAATTCGAATGGATTTTATCAGTGAGTTTTATTTTCAAGTAGTTATCATCTCTTGATGATCATCAATTTGATGTAAAAAAAAAACACACAATGAAAATTCAAAAATGTTGGTTTTATTTTTAAAAGTCAGTGTATGAAAAGAATATCATATATTTATATCTGGTCATTTTTATTATACCATCTGTTACCAAAAGATAGCATCTGTTTAACTTCAGAGAATATTTACTAAGTGTATACTTCATTTACTAAGTGTATACTTCATTTACTAAGTGTATACTTCATTTACTTTGTGTATACTTCATTTACTAAGTGTATACTTCATTTACTAAGTGTATACTTCATTTACTTTGTGTATACATCATTTACTAAGTGTATACTTTTATAAACTTATATTCAAACCTAGATAAGATCTTCTAGTTTGACCTATTCACCTTCAGCTAATTATAATTCGATATTGATTCTTTTTCTTACAAGAAATATTGCTAAATGCATAACAAAATATTTGAAAGTGTGTTATGTAATGGCGTTATTTCTATTTCTAACTATAGGTGTCCTATAGAGCGTGATAGTAGAAGTAGAATGAATATCACATTTAGAATCGGTGTAAATTTTGAAGATGAAGCATTAGAAAAGAAATTTATAGATGAAGCCCATCAGAATGGGTTAATATCATTAAAAGGACATAGGTTAGTATCTTATGTATTATCTGTTTTTAAAGGTTACATACTCACTTTAATTGTAATCTCAAATCATTTCAGAAAAGAAGTTAAGATACATATTTATCGCTATATATTCATTATGGACACACGCTTCGTCATATCTGGTTGCTTATTGCATGCGATAATAACCTGAGGGCCAGTGTACTATAATCTTGGACACATGAAATTGAAAAAAGAATATGCTCATGCCACTGTCCTGGCAAAATTTCTTGCACACTGCATGGTCTGTCTGTCTTCATCAGTGCCCTATCAAGTGCAGAAAAGGATATAAAATTTCATTTCATTTTTATATTTATTTCAGATCGGTTGGAGGTATAAGAGTATCAATTTACAATGCTGTTCATGTTCACGAAGCTGAGAAACTTGGAGAATTTATGAAAAATTTCCAAAGATTAAATATTTAGTGGTAGTGCTATAAAATATAATTTATAGACTGTATAACTCTTTATAGTTGTCTAAATGAAATTTAGAACAAACTTTGTAAATATTTCATTTTTTTATTATTAGGCTTCAAAAGCCTTTTGAATTGTAAAAATTTAACTAGTTATATATTTCAGCCATTAAAAAAACTCAAATCATAAATATGGTAAGTTTTTTGCAATGATCCAATTGAAATGCAGATCTTGATGGATTGTTTTGTGTTTTCTGACATGATTCTTCTCAAATCATGTTCTGTGAATTCAATACCATAAACATGCCACAAACATTTCAAATTTGTGCACAAAATTTTCTTTATAGTTATTCACTCACTTCTGGTTTTGTGACATCATCAATCCCATATTCTGTCCATTTCTCAAATACATCACATTTGGAAGAACTAACCAAGACAGAAATATTCCACCACTTAAGACACATAGCTTGTTTATCTGTCTGTCCATTAGATAATATAGTTAAACACAACACCATTTAATCTGTTTACCACACCCCAAACACATCTCAAGCAGATAGTGACATCACAAATCCCATGTTGTAAGGTAAATTCTAAAACGTCACCATGTCATTTTATGTGTCTTCACAAAGCTACTTGTAACTCATTTCATTTCTATTAGTGAATTTAAATCAACTGTCAGAATCGAATGCAACATGGTCTTTTCCTTTTAAGTACAAACCATAAAAAACACTTGGTAATGATTTCTTTTTGACTTGAATACCTTTAAAACCAACTAGTCCATCCTTAAAAATGAAAATTTTACCATATGACTACTCTGTTCAATAAAACATATAGTGGCTCCAATTGGTACCATGCTCTTTCAAAACCCTTTAAAAATTTGGTTCGCAAGACTTTCATATGACAAAGAATACTACTTAGTTAAGACGTTCGCTTGGTAAAACATTTATTTCCGTTATGACACAAACTCATTAGGTAGAAATTAGTAACCAATGTATACTGAAATGAAACTATAACTAAAATAATACAATACAATTCAACAGTCCTACTTACCTTACATTTCACTAACAAGACATTTCCTTGTTTTGCCCATCGAACAGTTCCTACAGGCAATGCTTCAAATTTCTCCTTCTGAATGTGATCTGAAATAAACACAACCATGTTTATTGAAAGAGCTACCTCAGGTATGAATGGAGCGATTCATGGTATATTTATTTCCTGCATTCCTTAGCTCAGTCCATAGCTCTAGGACTTTAAGAGGAATTATTCTGACCCTTAATGCATTTTATGTTATATCGGTTCACAAACTATGCAGTCTACCAACTACCAGAATCATTTGCCCACACAACAAACTGGATATAGTACCGGCACACAATGGTTGCCATTAAACACAATGGTATGTTGCAGAGCACTAGTTTAATTCACAGTTGACTCTTTGCAACATCAGTTTGTATTGTAGAAAAATTAAGAACGACGGATTAAAACACTTTCTCACATTGACTCACAATTACTAAAACTGCCATCATGAAGCAATAAAATGTAACTACCTTTTGTTAATGTTGGATCAATCATATCAAATAAATAAACTTTTAAACCATTTAATTTTGTGTAAACTGGTTTCTGTAATATATATAATGTACAAAAATTTCATTATATAGGGAGATTTTTCATGCCCCTGAAAAAAAATTGTCTATCTACTGAAACCCAGAAATTATATTTAACATATTGATTTTTCAATGCCATTTTAGAGGCAGGAGTGGTGAAAGTTTCAGACTGCACAGTGAACATTGTTTAGGGAGGGTACTGCCTTACTTGTGATACTCACCAAACTCAACAAAGTTCTATAAACAGTATAAATATTTTCACAAGTATCATTCCAATTCAAATTTCCAAAACTTTCTTTGATTTTCTTGGCTGAAAAAATATGATCCATTTAAACGGAGACTAAATTTAAAAAAATTAACATCTAAGACTCAAATCAAACCCCTAAAATGTCGTAAATGCTCTTTTTAGTGTACAGTCTGTAGCATTCACAGCCAAGATTTACTGTCCCATGTTAACTACTACACTTTTTTCATGTTAGCATATTGATTTCTGGCAGTGAAAAATAAAATCATTACCTTGAGTCACTTCTAAATCAGGCTTCAAGTCTTGTTTAATTAAATTGGGCAGATCTTTAAGACTATCTACTAGCTAAAACATTAAAAAAATAATCTATGTAACTAAAATATTAAACTTTCGATCCATTTGGTGCTACAGTTATGCATAGAACCCTAATCAGCAATATTTGGATATCAACAGTTAAATCTTTATATTCAGAAGTCTGGATGTTCCCAATTATCTTTACGAGTAAGTTAAAATTTATATACACTGTTTTTTGATGAAGAAATGCCCTAAGGATACCATATCTACCAGCATTTTCAAACACACAGGTCTGGTAATTTTACAAGCAAAGCAACAAGCCTGATTTATTTAAAATCAAACTGAACAGTTCAGTTGAAAAACGCTACCAAATTTGTACCTAGAAACCTAGAACCAAATATGATACTTACTAAACTGGCTCCCTCTTTTGCCAATACATCATGTAAATAAGGGTAAGTAACTTTTTCTGGTACTGCTATTTTCTTCTGTAGTAATATTTCACCAGTATCAAAACTATTAAAAAAATATAAAGATTCTCATATCAACCATTTACTATAGATTACCAATTTAAATTGAAGGCAAGGTTATTGCAAAAGGTCATGTTGAATTAATAAAATGGATTTGAACATTCCTAATTATCACAAAAAAGACTCCTGCATCAGGAATTTATCAAAATAATATGAATTACTATATTTTAAGGGTATATGCATTTATTAGGGTTTATATTTTATATCTTATATAAAAGCAAGGTACATCTTACTGTTTTGGTTTGATTTTCATGATAGTTACACCAGTATATTTATCATTATTTAATATTGTATGAACAATAGGTGCTGGACCTCTCCATCTTGGTAATAAACTGGCATGTACATTTAATATTCCACTGAAAAATGCAAAAAAGCCATCATAGGTTAGTTTTCAACCCCATTTCCAGCAGCAACCATGATAAATAAATAGACAGAAGTAAGTTGATGTTTGGTATATGCATTAGAAACACTTAGAAATTCTGTCTGTCCAATTCCAATTTCCCTCTGACACAAGTTGTCCATTCAGTTTCAAACAATTGTAAATGATTATTACAACAGATATCAATAAGTTTCAATGATCATGATAATGAAGTCACAAATAAATACTTTAGCAGAAATGTAACAGGTGTACTTGTATATAACCTAATACTTACTATGGAAAACTATTTATTAGTGCAGCTGGTATAAGATGTCCAAAAGACACCAGAACACCAACGTCATATTGTCCTGCATTCACAGTCACTGGCCAATCATGTACTTTTAGCTTTTTTTCTACAGCATATTTTCTTATATCAGTCTAAAATTAACAAGTTCAGAATTAACAACATTTTTAATGCCAACTTTGGGAATATTTTCTGGTAGATTTTTCTGCTTTTTAAACCTTTTGCTACAACAATATTGGTTGAAGTGGCAGCTCAAAGGGAAGGGGAGGGCTGAGGACCATTCTGGATAAAAACACTTGTGTTGTAGTGGGAAAAATAATATGATGACAAAATTTGAAAAAGATGACTTACTCTTTGTGTCGCTACAACTTCAATATTCTTCACTAGTTGATGTTCATTATTAATTCTATAAAAATACCAATAGTACAAAAAATTTTTAAAAATTGGCACATGTTTACAATAAAAATATCATGAAAAGGTAGGCCCATCTAATGAAACGAAATAAGAATAGAAAATATTTACCTGTTTTCATTTAATAACTGTAATGTCTCCAAAGCAAATTTATCTGAACCAAAAAATAAAATATTCCATGGTGGTTTGGAAGCAATATTATTTTCTGTACAATACAATTGATGTGGTGTATATCTATGTGTACAGAGGCTTTTGATTATCTTACACGAAGAACTGGCTATTAATTGTATCTTCATTTTACCTGTGAACAATTCATCAGAAAACATTCATAAGCAATAATATATCATAATCATAATCCTGTAACTCTGAAGGCTTAAAGACACCAGCCTCTGTAAATGTACAGTCCAAAGTAACAAATTCACTAACAGACGAAAGTGTGAAGACAGTGGCGAGAAACTAGAGATAGTATTCTCAGATAGTCGACTATTATGGTTCAGAATGAAATTTAGAATGGCACAACATAATCTTTATCTATTTGAGGGGGCTATTTTCAAAATGATCGTGATTTAAGTTAATCACTATTTAGCAGACTTTTATGCTTCTTGTACTTGACTTTGAAATCAAAAATCTAAAACTAACCTATTTTATACAAAAGTAACCGGAAGCTTTCTTGTTTACACTAGACTTGATTATCTGAAGCATAACCTCTTCCTTTGATGATAGTATCTATAAGGTCTTTTTTCTTTTTTGGACGATCTTTTTTCCCCTATTATTATGATGAAATTCAACAACACTTCAGAGCTTCAACTGTTCATATTCATTTGATGCAATTGCATCGTTTAGGCTAGTTTTGAATAGTCCTACTTTACCATTTTCAAATAAAAATGTAACTTTAAAGCAACTACGACAATTCCTAAGGTCAAGGCCATTATTGCGATTTGGAATGAAAATTATAATTTTTGATAGATATGGTTGCATCTACATTATAACTTAACATTCAGCGTCTGTAAAATGTCAGACATGGAGGTGGAAGAAGTGTCCTTTCTACCAGGTGCATGTTATAAATATTATGACGATAATATCCATATTGTTTGTCAATCTTTCACGCAATCAATATTACAATATTGTCACTAAATCTGCCACTCACTCAGTTGTGTTTTTGTTAGGCCTTATTATAAAATATGTTTTGATTGCGATGTTGACCTCCGATGATAAGAAACTGGGTTATTGCCCTTGTCTTTGAATAATGAAAATTCTCTAACTTTATTATATTTTTCCTGATTTTTCGAAATTTGATTTTAACACTTTCTTTCATTCAGTCATTGTTCAGCCTGGTCGTAGGTAGGATGTAAACCTCCATTTATTCATTTTACAATCTATTTGAAAGCGACATCTCATTTTCCTTTTCGGACATACATAATATGAATATATGATGATTATGAAACCATTTTCACTTTTGTGAATATGATAAATTTTCATTCTGCATTTTCGTAACTTTTTATGTAATATTTCTGGGTATTGCGGTATGAAGAATACAATCTTATTCTGCTGTATTTACTCTTCATTAGCCAAACATAATAAAACAATTTGATAATATAGTGAAATAAGCTATTTAATATATTATCGGTAGGCCTACTATTTTTTGAGTGTTTTGAAACATTTATACATTCAGCTCATTATTTTCAAACAAGTTAAAAAAAAAGATATATCTAGTGTTCATTTAGCCAATGTAAATGTAACCAATCAGAACATCCTCATGTATAATTCACAAGATTCGCTTCAGCCTGTGTTAAAGTAGTGTGTAATGACTGTACTACATGAACATTATATGAATTATTGCCTTATAGTATGATTGAAAGGTAGTTTTAAAGGGATTGTAAAGAGGTTTTGTAAAATTTTTATGTATGTCTGGGACATTTGATAGCATCAATTTGCACCATTCCAATTTCCAATCAGTTTCTGCTTGATTATGTCACTTATCGCTTAGAGGCTTATGTCATAATGCAAATTTTGCAGACATCAGATTGAAAATTGGAATTGTCAAAAATATTTATGTAGGGGAAAAACCAGTGAAAATAGAAGTAGCAAGAGAGATTTCTACAGTTTTTTTTTTAAAGTAAATTTTCAATACTTTTCAAGACTTTTGATGTAATATTCAAGGCCAAAATTATTCAAATGCTGATCCTTACCAAAATATGATATGAAAAAAAATTGAACAATTTTAGTAAAATATAAACACCAATAAATAATTCACATTGATAATTTTACTATCTTTGCCATTATATTTAAACAGTTGGAAATCATTTCATGTTCTAGTTAATAAGCCTAAGATGTATTAAATAATACATAGATCACATGAATACAGGTTGTTTTAAGGGTATTTGAGATAAAAATACATTTTAAGCTTTCTACGATTTTTTTTTACAATTTTTCAATCCATACTTTGATTGACTGGCGTTATAAAATTATTTACAGACAAACTATAATGAATTTATCAAGTTGTTTATCAATGGCATTTTTAAACTGTTGTCAAGGTACCAGTTCGCCATCTGTTCAAATCAACCAAGGAAATTTTTAGCTAAGCTATATACAGTAATAGTGTTCACAGCTTACCATCGAAATTTCAGCATTCAAATCAATGGGAGTCCAGTTGAATCGACATCTCTGCATAATAGAGAAATAGAAAGTTTGAGGTATTTTTAAGGAATTATGTGAATTTTGTATGTTTCTATTTTTTCTCAAGACTATTTACATATATTCAAGACCCAAAACAAACCTCGAAAATGGCCACCGTGACCCTTTAAATTGAAGAGTAAACAAGTAACAACTAATTTATTGTAATTGAAGTGTAAAAGGAATAATAGTTTCAGTTTCACCTGACTGGACATATTTGATTATTTAACACTGTCTATGAAGTATGAAGTTGTATTACTTATAGAATATAGATCAATAAATATATACATTATAATTGTCAATAAATATATTTCATATAGTTCTTATTCAAACATGGAGGAATGTAGTTTAATGGATGAAGGTAAGAAGGCTACACATCTGCATAAAGTTTCCTCATAGTATTATATCATTTTATTTTCTGTCAGTCAAATGTCCATCGTCCATACGTCTATTTTTCTTTCCATATGTTCACAGTTATCTCGAACTCACTCTACAGGCTTCTTTAGTTTAGTTTAGGGCCTCTGAATTTTTTCTGTCTATTTTGAAACAGGTGAAGGCTCTGTATTTTGTTGGGGTAACATGTTGAAAATCTCTTTCAAGAATATTTTCTGTTGAGTTTGAACAATTTTTTTTTTGTGTCTCTCTAAAGTTAAAAAGCAGAAAAAATCATAACACTTTTCATTTCAAGATCATTCATAAAGTTTCAAAGCTCTGGTGATAGAATTTTAACTTCATAGTTCTAGTTATATTAGACATTAGCTTCATTGCTTAAAACACTATGTAATGCCAGCTTTTTCAAAATAACTTTTTAAATGTATGAATTATTCTGAAATGAAAAGTGTTATCGTTTTTTGTGAACCACCCAAATATTGAAATATCTACCTTACATTTCCATGGACTCCAAGACATTCACATCACATATAAATTAGAAATATTAAAACCGAATCTGAAACATGTTGTTACTCAGAGTTGCACACTTCAGGAGTTGTCTGTTTGTTTGAATATTTCTGTATTCTATATTGCTTTACAATTGATATATTGAGCACTATTTTAACACTGAAAATATTTGGTTAATTTTAACAAATGTTTAAACTTTATTAAATTATTGTCGTATAACCTTTGAAACTAATTTCAAATCATAATCACATTTAGTAACTAGATGTTAATAGTTTTGTAACAGATGTTACATTATAACTACCATATCAATAATTTCACTTGACTGCAAATTTTGTATTTGATATAGTGGGGGAAGCATTATATTTTATTACGTATGAAATACCTTGTCTGATATAGTGTGTATAGTGGATTTATACTTCCAAATTCTAGCTTACATTTAGAAAGCCACATTTACAAAAGAAATCCAGGTTATTTTAGTTTATGAAAACAGTAAATATGAAAAGAGATTATATCTATGTTACTTCTTTGATGAAATTAAATGTTAAAGATTTTGGGTAATTTGTGAACAATATGTTATATTTTATGTGAGGTTTTTTGTGGGGAGTTGTTGCCCGTGATTTCTTCAATGTATGCTAGTTTCATATGTGATAACTTACTCAAGGTCCCTCATAACATAGTGATTCACAGTTGCATATGGTTGCGATTAATGAAAGTGGTCATGAGTTTCGAACACAACTCACAACTCAGCTGCAAGAGAGTTGCGTTCCAAACTTCTGACTGCTATTCTTATTACAATCATCTGCAACAGATGATCACTATGATGTGAGGACCCTTTCAATCAGCTGCGAGGAAATGGGAATAGTAGGCTATTTTGTTGGTGACAGTACATATCTATATCTTGTTTCAGTTAATTACCAGCAGCTGACCTTTTATATAAAATTAGCTTTGACTTAACAGCTGTTACATTTATATCATACAGTGATAAAATCAATTTTTCCTTTATTTCAGATAGGTTTTTTTTATGAAACTTTTCATTGTTCTTAGATAGTATTTCAGTTTAGGTTTTCCCTTTCAAATTTTTTTTATTGATTTTCGGTGGTAAAGTAAAACCTGGCAATTCTTTCCATGCCTTTGTTTGTTGCACTGTGCATAAAAGCCCTATCTCTGTATGTTTATTTGTCTTCAGTGACAGAATAACCAGTCTAGATGATCTTGTTAAGCATTTTGGATTGTTGATGCTGATAAGTTCCTTGAGATATGCTGGATCAGATGAATGAAAAATCATTTTGAATGTTATTTAAGTAATCAAATACAGTGAGACCTGCCCAAACCAAATGCATACTTTGAAAAATTATCAAAACAAACAATTAATCATTAATCCAGATTAGAAATGGATTGTTCATTATTTTAATGATTAAATATCACTCCATTAACATTTACTTACATTTTCATGGACAACATATGATTTAATTCTGTTTGAGTCTATTGTATAATAAACCTGCATTTACCACGGCTCTGACTGGATTCCAGTTAAATGTCACTATAATATGTACTGTATTTATATATAATTAATGTCAGATATTAAGGGATATTGTCATCTATTTTTTTTATCTTGCAATCTGATATTTTTATATGTTTATTTCACCTATATGAAACAATTATCAAAATAAACACAACTTAATGTTCACCTACAATTCAATAAATCAAAAAATAATGAATGTATTTCCACTCAATCAAAATCCTGAAGCAATATGGGTAGCTAAAATTGAGCTCTATCAGCTGAAATGCATATTTTAGAATACTATATGCCTTTACCAGTGATTTAGATTTTTTTTACAGAGCTATTCATTTAGCTGTTCAGTCATATGAATTCAGTTTTTTCGAAGTGTATAGCAATTATTTATAACATTTATATATTTTATGGATTTTGTTTGAAAGTAATGTTTTTTTTTTAAGTACAGAATTTTGTTATATAGGAGGTTTACAAATATTTAATTGGCGTTTAGACATTTGTTACGAATGCAGCATTGTTGAGAATTTATTATGATTGTTCTTTCTGTTTCTACTGTAGAGGATGATAGTAAACCTTAAGAAGTCTGTTTATGAACATTTTGACATTCATTGTAACAACCAATAACAAATGGAGAATGTAGTTGTTCTTTTTCCTTCTTTTTTAGGGGACACAGTTCACCATAAGAAGTCTGTTTATGAACCAACCCGCCATCAACGGTGTCAACAGTTAATCTGCAGTAGATCCTGGGCTATCACCATACTTGTTCTTTTGGGAATGTTACTTATATTCATAGCATCCCTTGCTGCATTCGCTCGTCCTGAGTGTCAAGCATGTTCACCAACTTCAGAGCATTGTCTTACTGATCAACAACCACAAAAACATGTACCCACTACTCCTAAACCAGATTTTATATCAAAAAATGGAGAAGAATATCCATGGAAAGATGTCCGTCTGCCATCGTTTGTCATTCCTAAATCGTACAAACTGATTATGCATCCAAACATATCAAAATCAGAATATCATGGTGAAGTGACAATAGATTTAGAAGTTAAGAAAGAAACAGATTTTATTGTTTTTCATGCCATTGATTTTAATATAACTAACTACAGTGTTACTTCAAATGACAAAACTATTTCAGTCAAAAAACATTTACAATATGAGACTTTTGAACAATTTTATCTTCAATTGGAGAGGAAAATTCAACCTAGTGAAAATTTGAAGTTATCAGTGATGTTTAAAGGAGAACTAAAACCTAAATTACATGGATTTTATAAAAGTTCATACAAAACCAAAGCTGGGGAACAAAGGTATTGAATTTTTGTAATTTCTTTGCCCAATTCAGTCTTTTGTTTGTTATTTGTTCTGATTTTTACTCAAAGCATAAGTAACTTCTCTTTTATATGCTTACTACATAACTGACACCGAATTTCATAAGTGAGGGTCGGATTTTGTTTCTGAAAAGTGTTAAGGATAGCTGCAATTGAAGTGTCAGCTGGTAAAGCAAATATCAAGATATCGATATCCTTTAGAAATGGCTTAGTTTTTGCTTTGCGATGAATCTTGTGTGTTTGCAAATTTAAACAGATCTTTTACTCCTAGACACTCACCTTCGGAATGTCAACTTGGCTCTCATAGCTTTATTACTTCATAATGTATGTCCTAATTCAGTTACCATAGTAATCTATTAATGCCTTCTGTTTTCAGACATATTGCAGTGACACATTTTGAGCCAACTGATGCTAGAGAGGCCTTCCCATGTTTTGATGAACCTGCGTTTAAGGCCACGTTTGAGTTATCCATCACTCGCGATTCCCAACATATCACATTGTTTAATATGCCTCTAAAGTCCAGTGAGAACCAAGCCAATGGATTAATAGTTGATCATTATGAAACCAGTAAAAGAATGAGTACATATTTAGTGGCCTTTGTTGTCTGTGATTTTGGCCATATTCATAAGACGACCAAAGATGGAGTAAAGGTCAGTAAAAATGAAACAAAATAGAGCTTTAAGGTATTCTCTTATGTACACATGTTGTTGGATTTCTGGTCTTAATATGTTTGCAATTATGATGTCATAATCTAGTCAAGTTTTTCTGAAAGCAAAAACCACAGTGGTAGTGCTATTTCTTAAGTCCTCTTCAAAGTAATTGATCAATGTGGCTGCCAAGAATCTTGTACATTGATAAAAGATTTTTCTGAATTCACTCTATGATATGAAGGAGTGAGCATTATATTCACAATTATATGATATATGTTTCAGGTAGGAGTGTATGCACCTAAAGATATGATTTATCAAGCAGATTTTGCTTTGGATGCAGCTGTTAAGATATTGGAATATTATAATACTTTTTTTGGTGTACCTTATCCTTTACCTAAACAGGGTTAGGAAATAGTTTGTTGATTACTTCCCTTGGTATAATTTCTAAAAGTAAATCTGTATGAAATTGTATGACCCTCTCCTTGGCTTCCTTGCCACAATATTTTTCAAAAAAATGCAAACATTTGAAAGGTTCTTGAAAATCAGATGTTTCATTATTAGAGATTTCTTTGAGTATGCTAAAAGCTGCACAGTAGTAAAACGTGCTTAACGGAAGATGTACCACTCGAATGTTCTACCTTGTTCTCTCAAGGCAGCAACATGCTCCTGCCAGCAGCCATCTTTAAGTGTCCATGTGGCTGTCTTAACTGAGGAAAAACTTTAATTTTTAAATTTTCTCCTCACTGAAACCCAACTACGGTACCAGGTGAACATATTTCGTCACTAACGAACTATCCGTGTTCCACAAAATCGACCAGTCCAATACGCCTGTTGATTTCATTTTGATTAAGCTTAGTTTTGCCCTTGTTGTTTTTACCTACCATGTGCAACTACCATAAGAAATGAAAACTATCTTTGTCTTATAGATTTAATAGCTATACCTGATTTCCAAGCTGGTGCTATGGAGAACTGGGGTTTAATAACATATAGACTATCAGCTTTACTCTTTGATCCTAAAACATCTAGTCTAACTAGTAAACAATGGGTAGCCACAGTTGTAGCTCATGAGTTAGCTCATCAGGTAAGTAATTTATCTTTTCTTCAGATTGGACACATGAAAACCTGCCTTGGATAAGTTATTCTAGACGTCTTTATGGGAAGCGATGTAACTCCTGTATACCTGAAGTTTGAAACTATTTGCTGTCTTACCAGTACTTTAAAGCTTCCTATTCCTTTTAGTAGTAATTGTGGTATTTTTGTATACATCAATTTTTTGTTAAAACTGTTTACAATTAAACACATACTTACCGAGAGTGTTCTTGATTTATCAATTTAGTGGTTTGGTGATTTGGTTACTATGAAATGGTGGGATGATCTCTGGCTTAATGAAGGGTTTGCATCGTATGTTGAATATCTTGGTGCTGATATTGTACTACCAGAGTTCCGAATGGTAAGACTTTTCACATTGGGGATGAGTTCAACTGTGACAATATTTCAGCAAAATTATTTAGCTCACTTTAGATTAGAGTGCCTTAAAAATATAATCTTTTCATAACTGCCATTGCTGTGTTTTATTATTAGGTTTCCTAACTTTATAGATTTTTGGGCTTTCTCCTATTCCTTATGGAGATTGATTTTATAAATATAAAGGCCTATTACCTCATGTCCATAATGAAATTTTCTAGATCAAGGTATAACATGACTTGTGTTCTGCATGGAAAGCGTAAAGTATCAGTTGCAATGGGTGAATGAAACTGCCTTGTTATCTGTATCAGCCTTACTTATGATTGAAATTCAAAAGTCATCGTTCATCGTCTTATTTTGTTTTTTTGCAGAATGACCAATTTCTTCTGAAAGACTTTCAATTAGGCTTGAATTTAGATTCTTTAAGTACATCACATCCCATTCAAGTACATGTTTCTAATCCTGATCAAATTAATGAAATATTTGACACAATCTCATATAATAAGGTAAGAACTGTTATTACGAAATGGTAACTATGGTAACATGGCTACTGTCTATTCCAGAATGAAGACCATAGTTAGAGCACAAACTTTATTTTCTCAGTGTTACATATGAACGAACCAGGCAATATAATGATTGAGCAGTGTTGTCACATATTCCCGTTTGATGTGTCTTGTGTATAATATGTCTATTGTTTATTATAGGGTAGTAGTTTGTTACGTATGTTAAGGTTTAGTCTAGGAGAAGAAGAGTTTAAGAATGGTTTAAGTAGTTATTTAGAGAAATATCAATTTGGTAATGCTGAAACTAAAGATTTATGGCAATCTTTACAGGTAATATATCTAGTGTTTCATATGCCTACAATCTAATGTGGATGTATAATGCCTTGGCCCCTTCAGTCGGTCTGTTAATGCATCTGTCCATCAATCCATCTGTCCCTCTGTCCATTGTGAACCTGATACACACTACAGTTGTCAGAATTTTTTTTTTTAAATTTGGTGTATAGGGCCTAGGTTTATATTGACAAGATCTTGGACAAGTAACAATTAGAGTATTTCGACAAATATTTATGGACTTATAGCCCTTGATGTACTGATAATATATTGGTTAAGTGGGCGTATCTTGCTTGGTAACTTGTTGTTATATAAACAAGAAGACATTTTCCACTTTACCCAACACATTGATTGCAGCTCAATTCATGGTTTTGGTTCTTTGTTAATGATTCAGTATAGCTTTGTATCTTCTGAGAAATTGCTCAAAAGCCTTTTGACCATTTGGGACTAATTCTGAATTACTTAAAAAAAAGTGATTGGACAGAAAGTGTTTATATTGTTTATATATTGATTATTTCAGTCTGAGAGTAATTTAAATGTAAAAGATATAATGGATACATGGACATTACAAATGGGATATCCTCTAGTTACTGTCAAACATACAGATAATACTGTTACATTATCACAAGAAAGATATCTATTTAACAAACAACAACCTGAAAAATCAGAATTTACATCACCTTACAAGTAAGTCAGTATAACTTTTCATTGTCACTCAATTTAAAAGAGTTCTCCAGGCTTTGTTTGTAGTTACTGTTATTACTGTTTTTTTCTGGACTAGCTGTCCTGATGAGGATTTTGTATCTGAAACATGTGGTGGCAGCATGAAATAAGCACTAGTCAGATAGATACATGTATCGTAGATATTGTTTACAAAATCAAAATACACAAAAAAAATGAATGATTTGAAATTTTTCTATTGATAAAATATTTGATTAAAAGAAGTTTGCATTTTTTTATAATCCATGTAAAAAATATATCAGTATTCTTGGTTCATTTTTTAGTTATAAATGGTATATACCTTTTACCTATGTTACTGATAAAAGTCCGAGTACTAAAAAAACAATATGGATGAATAAAACTTCAGGTAAGGCTTAATGATTTCTTATGATGTCTGAAAATATCGCTCAGGGATAAGTGCCAGTTTGCTAGCTGTTCCAAACACTTTGGTCTATTACTACTCTTCTTTATGTTTCGAATTGTCCAAAAAAGTGCTCAAATATCTTACATAAATATTAAATATCAAGAGCCTCGCTTCAATAGTGTGCTATATGCTAATTTGAAGCCCAAACATTTCTTCTTGGTTCATTTTAGTTACCATACCATTTGACAGTAGTTCAAGATGGATAAAAGGAAATTTTGGAGTAAATGGTTTCTATAGAGTAGATTATGGTGATATCTGGCATGAACTAATTCTACAACTACGTAACAATCATCAGGTATAATGATTACATATGATCTTTTTTGCAGTGTGCAATGAGGACAATTTTGCCAGGACAGCCCTTCTCTCATGCATCACTGACATGGGAAAACCGAGTTAAAAAATCTGAAGGTATTATCTCGACCTATGCCAGGATTGAACTGTCAACCACTGGTTTGATGGAATAATGAAGAAGTTACAAAAGTATCATATTTTACTAGCAGATAGTGACATAATACTTGTGGGCCTCCATTGCTCTTAAATTTATAACATGCCACTTATATTTTGTTTTAATCATCAGATAAGCTCATTTTGGTGCTACTTTTTCAGTTATTTGATAAAGCTGATAGAGCTGGATTGTTAGATGATGTCTATATGCTATCAAGGTATGTCATTTATTAATGTTTTTTTTACATATTTTAATACAGCCATCTTTAACCCCTTTAACTGTATAAGTGTATTAATATAATTGTAGATCTGAGTACTATATCCCCTTTAACTATATAAGTGTATTAATATAATTGTAGATCTGAGTACTATGTCCCCTTTAACTATATAAGTGTATTATTATAATTGTAGATCTGAGTACTATATCCCCTTTAACTGTATAAGTGTATTATTATAATTGTAGATCTGAGTACTATATCCCCTTTAACTATATAAGTGTATTAATATAATTGTAGATCTGAGTACTATATCCCCTTTAACTATATAAGTGTATTAATATAATTGTAGATCTGAGTACTATATCCCCTTTAACTGTATAAGTGTATTATTATAATTGTAGATCTGAGTACTCCATCCCCTTTAACTATATAAGTGTATTATTATAATTGTAGATCTGAGTACTATATCCCCTTTAACTATATAAGTGTATTAATATAATTGTAGATCTGAGTACTATATCCCCTTTAAGTGTATAAGTGTATTATTATAATTGTAGATCTGAGTACTATATCCCCTTTAACTATATAAGTGTATTATTATAATTGTAGATCTGAGTACTCCATCCCCTTTAACTATATAAGTGTATTATTATAATTGTAGATCTGAGTACTCCATCCCCTTTAACTATATAAGTGTATTATTATAATTGTAGATCTGAGTACTATATCCCCTTTAACTATGTAAGTGTATTAATATAATTGTAGATCTGAGTACTATATCCCCTTTAACTATATAAGTGTATTATTATAATTGTAGATCTGATAAAGTAGATGTGACTACAGCTTTAGATATGACTCAGTATTTAGAGAAAGAAAATGATTATATAGTATGGTCTACTGTTACATCAGGACAATTCAATTATCTTTTTTCACAGTTGAGATATGAAGAATCCTATTCTGATTTACAAGTAAGTTAAAGACACCTTCTTTCACTCTCTTTGACTACTTGCCCGAAACACTTAAATATTTTTACCATGTTTCACTCCAGTAAGTTAACATTGTATTTGGGCCAAGAAAGTAGATATTCATTATGTCCAATCAACAAACTTCTAGTTATGGTTTGTTTTGTAAATTATAACACATGCATGAAACTCCAACTGTTGTAGGAGAAGAATTTTACTTTGAATTGAGAGAACACACCTCACATGCTGGAAATGTGGATGAAACAAAGTTGAAAAGGTCCAGGTGATTGCTCCAGGGGTGTGAAAGGTGAAATAGGTTGGGAACCACTTCTATATAACATGACATGTCCATTAAACTAAGTAATTATTGAAAAACGCTTCTAAGCATGTTTCAAAATTACTTCATTAGATGGATTATTACTTACTTTTATGGATTTATTGGATTATAGAGGGATTCTGTCAGTTTTGATACCGGGTAAGTCCACTGACGAACAAAGATTCAATTTTTCGGTCAACCAAAGACGTAGTATATGTTCAAATTTTTTTTTATTTGACAGGCGTACGTACAGAAATTGATAAACAAGCAGATAAAGATTGTAGGATGGAAAGATGATGGTGATATTTTAAAAAAGTATGTACAGTCGCAGTATAAAACAATAGGCGATTAAAAAATTTCTTATATTTATTTGATTAATGAATATTTCATTCATGTGTGACATAATAAATTTTATGGCTTTCTACACATCAAATGACACATTTTCAACATGTTAGTTGAAATTGCAATTTCTAAACCAATGTTGACAGTTACTAGGTTTGTCAGTTTTACTGCAGGTTGATAAACAGTCTTTTTAATAAATTTAATACTTACTGCATGTGTGAGGTAGCTGACAGATGTTAAAATGGAAAGGGACATAACTCTAAAAACTGGAAATTCATTAAACCTACTTATTTTAATCGGGAATTGAAATTTGTGAATAAATAAGGCTCCCCTGTATATAGGATTGCAAAACTTTTCCATAGAGTTTAAATTTTGTCTAAGCCATGATACAAATCAACAACATTAATCACATTCTCTATACTTCAGCATTTTTATAAAATATTTTGTCACCTTATTCAACATTTATTTAACGTATGACAATATAATTCATATTCTATCAACAATATCTATCTACAGATATCTACGTACATTGATTCTCAATTTAGCCGAGAGAGTTGGTCACAAAGACACTATAAAGGAGGGCAAGGCACAATTTAAAAAGTGGAAAGATAATCGAGAGAGGTATACAGTTTTACTCAATAAATTTTGGTTGAGATGAGATAAAATGAATTTTGATTTTACAGCGGTCATGTGCTTTTTTCCATATGCAATATACTAAAACTTGTTACAGAGGATAAGCTACTATGCTTTTCCATTTTTAGAATTGCAACGAAGGGTCTAGAAAAACCATCAAACTGTTATAATTTCTTCCAGATAGGTCAATTTGCTGTTGTTTTTTTTATCTGCACTCCTTTATATTAGCTAGTTTAGACAACAGTTGGAAGACCACTGTTTCTTTAACAATTGAGGCAATATTAGTAAATTTAGTAATAATTTTATTTACAGCATTAATCAAAATTTAACATCAGTGATATTGACAATTGGTATTAAATATGGAGACAGAGCGGATTGGGATTTTGTCTGGAATAGATATAAACAGACACAGGTACCGTCTGAGAGAGATTTACTTGTTCGAGTTTTAACAGAGACTCAAGATGTTCATGTTATAAACATGTGAGTTTTGATCATCTTTCTGGTGTTTTCACTCTTCATTTGGCTTGAGATTTATGGCCAATTTTTTGTCAAATCATACCTCCGTCTCCCAAACAGAATTATTTTTAGCTTAATTAATGAGTAATAGTGTTCATTGCTCTCTAGAAATTTGAGTTTAAGCCTTAAATTCCATTTGCTGTGTCATCTGTTCTGCCATGGAAAACCTGTTTTTTTTCTGTCATTTTTTGTATCAGATATTTAAAAAGAGCTTTAGCTGATAGTAAAATAACAGATTTAGTTTTAAGTCGTATGGGAAGTAACCATGCTGCACAGTTACATGTCTGGCAATTCATAAAAGAAAACTTCGAGGAACTTTACAAAAGGTATGTGTGTGTGTCTGTCTGAGAAATTCCTCTGTGAAGGTCATCTAGAGGGGCGCTCGATTGATTAGTTCTGCATGTTCGGGATTTATGGAATCAACAGAACAATCAATAAACCAATTAAAAAAAGAGTTTAGTATACATTCCAAATATGACGGAAAAAAAAGTAGGTGCAGACAGAATTCAAAAAGGTGGAGATAGATTTGAAAATTTTGATTATGACTGTTCGTTTAGGGGCAGAATTGGAACAGACAGAACCTGTTCAGAACTCTCCTATCGAGCTCCACCCTGGTTCAGATGTCATTCTCTTCACTATGTGTTTTTGTTGAAATGATTCTAGTAGCTCTGATTCTCAGTTCTAATTGAGACAGATGGCTTGCCTCTCCACTATACCCATACTAATTAAGCACTAGCCTTTAACTTGTATGTATCCGAATTTTGAATAAAAAACTCTTTTTTGGGGTGACTGCATCAGATGATGGAAAGTAGCGCTTACTAAGTTTATTTTCTTTTTCCATATTACTGAAACTAGCGTATCAAAGAGATTTTTGAGCCACGTTGAAAATCTAAAATTGATGTGTTTTATTTCAGATATGGCAGTGGATCGTTTGTTTTAAGTAAATTAATCAAACAAACAGTTACGAGTTTTAACACTCAATATCTTCATGATCAGGTACATTTATTGTTTTTATCAAACATGTTCAATAAACCTATTTGACAAGCATTTAGGGAAGGTACATGGACGATGGGATATTCATATTAGATTCATACAATAATTACTGTAGCTGGTATCATTAACCTGGTTAGACATGATCACTCTTCTGGAACACCTGATATTACTTCGCATTTGGTTTTGTCAATTGGACAATTGTTCATTACATATCCAAAAATTTGTGGCTTTG